CTCCCAATTCTTTATTGCTATGAAATAATATCGACCGAAAGCCGTCGACTCGCCTCTTCGAAACAAACTGGGCAAACAAATGGCCGACATCCGACCCGCACAGAATGTGTGCGTGTCGGAAAGCAGCCCTCTGATTGGTCGATTGAGTGGGTATTGTTTTACGCCGCTTTATTTATCACCAACAATATAACAGCGGGGAACTACAGGAATGGGCTTCACGCATTGTACCCATTAAGGGAATCGAACCCGGGTCTTCGGCGCGACGGACGAACGCTTTAACCACATTGTCAAGGCTACCCCACCGCCCTCCAGACTAGACAAACCAGTGACTGATATAATGAGCAAAATACATAGGGACCGATGACACGCACTCCTGAGTTCCCCACGGAATTAGACAATTATATGAACCTTGTGACTATCTGTATTTTTATAAAAATAAAAACGTTGAAACAATATTTCAGATATGTCCTGGTGTGCCAGCTTTGTTTGGAAAAGATCAAGAGCACGAGTATGTAGCTGCGAACCATAGGGAGAGTGTGGGATTCGAACCAAAATCAGTGGTACAAAACACTTGAGTACCCGTGCACTTAGAAAGAAAAGGTGTGAGCATGTTTTACATGTATGACTTGGTTATAATGAATGCAGTAGAGAGCCTATAACTTAGACAAGGTAATTAGTGCCCTGTCATACAGACCCTGAAACACTATATCCAATACAGCCTATATATGCAGTCAAGATTACTGCAGTATAGAGAGACTCTCGGCTCCGTTTCATTATATTTCATAACTATAATTTAACAACTGTTTTTTATCCTTAAAATGTGTTCATTTCAGAGACCAGATGTTAGTCCAGTGCCCTGTGTGAAACGGCTTCTGCGATACTTACTGGTATGCATACTCAGATCTGGCGAGTAGAAAACGACAGTATTAAGAGACACGCTTTACGTATTTGCACAGGTGGATAAAATAACACACACCCCACCCACCCCCACCCCCCCCCCCCCCCCCCACCCCCCCCCCACACACACACCCTCAACCACACACCCACACACACACAATTAGAGACATTTACGACGTATATGATATCTGTATTTTCAGCGACCAATATGGACCGCGATTTCTGTCTTTGTTATCTCCCTTTGATCAGCAGCGATTAAGCTCCTTCGTTACCCTCCCGGCATCATTTTGAAGTCCGCGAAAGAACTATCGTTGTCAGGAGCTTGTTTTGCGATCTTGCACCCTGCGGGTGTGGGTGTGGGAGTGCAGCTTCTACCCTGCACCCGAATATGAGCTTAAGCGTCGGTCTGCCACCTGGGTTCGTGGGTTTCAAGAAAATTGTGAAAGATAAAACAATTTGGATGTTTGTACATTTAAATTCACCTAATCCCAAACACGCAACGCAAACATGGGTAATACATTTTCGAAATAGTGAACAATTTGTTAATGTGCTGTCTAGAAATTTTGCACACGTTTTTGTAACATGGAGTATAATTTCAATATACAGTGGTTCTCGATCAGAATGACGCCTTATCACCTCCAAATTTAAAGCTTTGAACAGTGGTTAATAATATGCTAACGGAAAAAAGTACTTCAAATAAAGTTCAGTAAAAAAATATTCTGAAATTAAATAATGAATCTTTCAATACATTTTCATCGTATCGACTCGTGACTCACAGTTTGCACGTGCATGTTAATGCACGGCGTTCAATTTGGATGTTTGCGTGTTAGTTGGGAGCATGATACACACACACATGTTTTTTTAATGTAAACAGCACCCAATTATTTTACAGCTATCAGGTGTTCATTAAAACACTTTTGTTTAACCCTAAATAAAGCTAAAGCAATGCCACGGCTTGCTGAAAAATCAACGTCTATGCACCTGGGGAATGCTGCAAACAGCAATGGCGCAAAACGAGGTTGGCAGACATGTTAACTAATGCTCATCGAAACACAATATCCCCTCTTTGGAGATGTTATCTACATCAGGGAACACTCATGACTTGCCACCGGCCGGTCGTCTACGTGTGACGTCACGTCAACGAGACAACCATATTCGATTGGTGCATATACGATATCGATACCAAACCGCCACATTAACAGCACGGACAAGGCCCGTGAAGATCCGGGGTAGAATAGGTCTTCAGCAACCCATACTTGCCATAAAAGGCGACTTTGCTTGTCGTAAGAGGCGACTGACGGGATCGGGTGGTCAGACTTGGTTAATGCATGTCATCGTATCCCAATTGCGTAGATCGATGATCATGATGTCAATCACTGGTACGCGATACGCTCAATTTTACTTCCACGGCACCGTGAGGTGAGGTGAAATTGGGTTTAACGTCGCGTCCAAGATTATTGCACTTATATAGCGACGTGCATGCACGTGTATGTGTGTGTGTGGCTGCTTGTACTAGTCCGGACTGATGCCGATTTATAGTGCTAGCTCACTGAGATACCATGCCGCAGTTTAACATGAATACCCCACTCAGACACAGTATACTGACTCCGAGCCGACCAGTCCTTGTTTTAGCCCCTTAATGCCGAGCGCCAGACAGGGTAACAACAAGTACCATCTTTTAACGTCTTTTTGTATGACGCGGCCCGGGATCGAACCCTGGACCTTCCGCTCTCCGGGCGGACGCTCTACCACAAGACCACGGAGGCGGTCTACGGCACTGTGAGGCACGCCTAGGTAGAATATATAGGTCTTCAGCAACCCATGATTGCTGTAAAATGTGACAATGCTTGTCGTAAGAAACGACTAGCGGGATCGGGTGGTCAGGCTCGCTGACTCCGTTGATGCATGTCATCGATTCCAATTGCGTGGATCGATGCTCATGATATTAATCACTTGATTGTCTGGTCCAGACTCGATTATTTACAGACCGCCGTCATATAGCTGGAATATTGCTGAGTGCGGCGTTAAACAACAAACAAACCAAAATAGTATAGACAGCATCAGAGGTTCAGCAGCTCCAAGTCCAGCTTTCATCATGACAGCTCTGATGGTCGTGCAAGGGGCGACAGGCGTTCCGAAGAACATTTTAGCGACGCTTGCGTTACTCAACGTTGTCAGTTTGGGGTAATGTAATGGTGTGGGTTGGGTTCACAACACATGGAAGAATATCATTGTTAATTTGAATGGCGTACGCTTCTGGGCCCTCGGTCGAGATCATGTTCTTGTCTTCCTGCAAATGCACGTCGAGCGATACATTGCTTCCGGCAATGACAGATAGCGTGTCATATATCTGGATGTATATGAGATGTAACCACTTCGTCTACCGACCTGACAACCCGGTTGTTTTTACAAATGTTGAATTATATTACAACTGTGAATACAATCTTTAGTTTCATTCCTCAGAGTCAACTCATTTCAGTGTGGTGTAAAAACGTTCATCTTTACAAAGCTGATGTAATTGTATCTCATTCATAAACTGCCGGGCAAAAGAAAGTATTCACTTGAAAATTGGATTTGACCCAAAATTACAAACTATAATACCCGTATGAAATACATTACCGTTGAATAACAATGTCTTGTTTGTTTCATTTTTAGCCGCCTTCTTTTGCCCGTCAGTCTATTATTCAAGTATTCCAGTATCCTGATTTCATAAGTCAATTATTTACGAACTCATGAACTCACTCTGCATCCAATCAGTTTACATGCACCATCATTATACAGCATATTAATCAACCTACACCTTTAGGGCTGTCTCTAATTGATTGAAACAGAAGAGTACAGAATCAAATTCACTATTTCCGTTTTGATTTTGACTGCATAGTTTGCAACATCATCAACATCATGCAATATCAGCACCATCATGCAACATCGGCAGCATCATGAACCATCAAGCACCATCATCAACACCATGCAACATCATCAACACCATGCAACATCATGCAATATCAGCACCAACATGCAGCATCATGAACCATCATGCAACATCATGCAGCATTATTTATCATCAGTAACATCATCAACATCATGAACCAAAAGAAGGTATGATATTGTTTATAATCTGATGACGTCAAATGAATAAAATGAGAAGCATGTGATGATTGGGTTCCAGTTTTTACTCGACAATGTTGTGAATATACCCTTTTGCACACTGAGAAAATAGTCTAGCGTATTCTACGCTGGCCAGTAGGTTAGTAAACAACGAAGTTACTATCCTTCCTGGTAGATTTTACGCGGCAGATGTGGAGAGAAGGGCCACGCTGCCGGTTATCATATTTCAGTTTCGGCGCCAAGACCTCGTGACAATGCTCACTTCCGCCTTGGTCAGTGTCACGCTCGCCATTTTGAGAAAACAAGAGGATGGTCATGAGTCAGGGTGTAAGCTATATATTAGCTTTGTGACGTTCTTAATAATATTCATGATGACAAAATTAACAACTTTATAGCATGTACTAAATGAAGAAGGGATGTAAGTTGATTTGCCAGACGTGAGTGTAAAACAAAACTTGTATAATATTTTTACCAGTCACTTACATTTTGTAGTATTGTGCAACTAAACTTAAAAGGTCACTGTTAATCATTATGTTTTATCTTTCATCTGTATTATGTATGTCATTTGTTATTTACTTCTTGTTTTTGCAAATTGTATTCTGCAGCTGTCGGCAAGGAGCGCAGAACAACCAAGAAACGAGCATTTATTAAAATGTAGTAAAACTTACTAAAGCATATATAGTAAATATACTATTGAAATTAGTACATTACGAGTAAACCAGTAATTTGACAGATGGATAGTAATCTTTACTAACTGATTTGGAAATTATACTATTCGACGATAGGCCATCCTAACGTCTAATTAGAAAACATTTACTAACTGGTTTGTATAGTCTACAAACATGTTAGTGTCTAACTGGACAGCGAAATTCACTGAGTTAGTCAAGTTTACAAACTATTTCTGACAGTGCATGGTGACCACATGACCAGGTTCCCCTGTGAATCTCACACTCCATGGATGACAAGTGGGTGCCTAAGGCAAACAACAAACAAACTTGACTTTAAAAACCGTTTATTAAAATAGCTTTAAAAAAAGAACAATATTAGGGGCGGGGAGTTATTACACTGGAAACGCGAAATATAGTTTTTTACAAGTCTTACTATAAATCTGTAACATCTCTCTCCCCCTTCTCTGTTACATTACAACTTCTCATTAGTGGGTACACATAAACATTATAATGAGAATAACATGGAAAATTGGAGATCATGAAGTGGAAGTTGTTTTTACGTTTTAGTTGGTTGCCGAAAAAAGAACCAAAGCAATTTAACATAAGTTCAGTGTTGGACGCGCTCCTTCTGTCAGAAACATGCCGCTAACGCTGATCAACACTATCCATGTTATTAACCTCTTCTGTTCAGATACTGCTGGTAAACATGTTTGTCCACCAAGACAACATATTGTGAACCATTTAACATAATGAAAACATAAAGAATATCAGCTCAGAAATTCCAGTCACTCACACGGTACAAATTAATATTCCAGCGCCATTTAGCTAGCTCGTCGAACACTTTTAGCTGGCGTTAATTTCTAATGCTGCATTTTAGACCACATTCAAACCTCGATTGAAAAAATGTTTATTTAAACTAGATGCAAAGGAGCCCCGACCGACAGTCAGACTGGGTGGTCATCCCTACAGACAGTCCTTGTTACCTCTCCCTTGCGTCCTTGACCAAGCATCCTTCTTCAGAGCATTCACACAGTAAGCCACGGGCATGAGCTTCCGCTTCAGTACCCTGAAGAGGAACATTGTCTTTGTTTGCTCCCTGTGTAACGCCGCACTCAGCAATATTCCAGCTATATGACGGCGGTCTGTAAATAATTGAGTCTGTCATTATCAGACAATCCACTGTCTGACAGTCATGGGAATCGATCCCACAACTGGGATACGATGATATGCATCAAAAGAGTTAGCGAGCCTTACCACCCGATCTCGATATTCTAACCTGGATGTTCACGTGTCAGGAACAGTGTCGGTGCCGTTTCCTCTTTACTGTTAGGAGATTCCGGCTCATCCACTGGGATTAATTAGACGTGGCTGACTGTCCCTGATCCTCCAGCCACAGAGTGATCCAGTGTAATGCGTGAGAAAGGGATGTAACCAGCAAATTCTTCATAATCCACTGATCTTTCATCATTACTTGTCGCGAGATTCCCTCCTACGTCATATCTCAAGCCAGCAGATTGATCTGGTGCATCGTCACCTCTTTCCCCGAGAAGGAAATGTACGCCAACATGTCCCACGCCAGCTGATGGTCCTAATCCTGCACCATCTCTTGTCCCGAGATTCCTGCCTTCCTCATATCTCAAGCCAGCAGGTTGTTCTGACCCATCACAATCTCTCTCCCCAAGACAGGGCACCCCAGTCAATGCAGCAGACCAACCTCGGCCGTCATGTCTCACACCATCAGGTTGTTCTGACCCATCACAATCTCTCTCCCCAAGACAGGGCACCCCAGTCAATGCAGCAGACCAACTTCCGCCATCATGTCTCACACCATCAGATTGTTTCGACCCATCACCATTTCTTTCCCCAAGACAGGGCACCCCAGTCAATGCAGGAGACCAACTTCCGCCATCATGTCTCACACCATCAGGTTGTTCTGACCCATCACAATCTCTCTCCCCAAGACAGGGCACCCCAGTCAATGCAGCAGACCAACTTCCGCCATCATGTCTCACACCATCAGATTGTTCTGACCAATCACAATCTCTCTCCCGAAGACAGGGCACCCCAGTCAATGCAGGAGACCAACTTCCGCCATCAAGTCTCACACCATCGGATTGTTCCAATTCTGAGCCTTGTAACAGAAACAACTCCGAGGCCATCTTTGTTGCTCTGTTGATTTTTTTCTTCTTTGTGCAAATGCAACATAAGAATGTCACCATGTTCCTTCTATTTCCTTGTACGTGTTCACAATATCCACGGATGAGAATGATGGTGATACTGATGACAATGAGGACAAGGAGGACCACTGTTGTTGTTGTGAACAGCGTGAGTGTGTCCTCCAGGCCATGTGATGAAGGACTTTGTGTGCTGGCTGAATCTGTGGTAGATGAGCCTTTTGGGGGGGTTGATCCTGAAGATCCTTAAAAGGAAACTTATGTCATTCATGTAACAAATTCCATATATCATACGACAAAAGGAAACACTTGAAAATAGGCTCGTTTAGGGACCGAGCATTTGTTATTGTGGTGGCAACTGGGATTTTATCGAAAAAAATAAATGTCCCCGAAAATTACCGAAAAAGATTTATGCTGCAGCCTATTGAAAAAAGAAGAAATTGTCACCAACAAAAATGACATTGTTCCAAAAATATTCATGCTCACACATTTTTTAAACTATCTCCACATTTGTCTCTACGTGTATGTGTGTGTGTGTGTGCGTGCGTGTCTCTGTGTGTGTACATGTATGTGTGAGTGTGTCTGTGAGTGTATGTGTCAGTGTGCGTGTCTGTGAGAGTGTGTGTGTGTGTCAGTGTGCGTGTCTGTGAGAGAGAGAGAGAGAGAGTGTGTGTGTCAATGTGCGTGTGAGAGAGAGAGAGAGAGTGTGTGTATCTGTGTCTGTGTGTCATGTGTGTGTATCTGTGTGTGTGTGTGTGTGTGTGTGTGTGTGTGTGTGTGTGTGTGTGTGTGTGTGTGTCGTGTGTGTGTGTGTGTGTGTGTGTGTGTGTGTGTGTGTGTGGCTGGAGGGTACTTCACTATTATATACAACATCCATACATATAATTACCCGAAAGTGTCCTCTTGGGCATGGGCCCCCCAATGATGGGCATACACCTCATGGTGGGGTTCCTGCTCTTGGTGACGCACTCGTCCACCACCACAGTGGCCCCCGGGTGGTCGGGGTAGCAGTAGGAACACTTGATGCACGAGCTGGGCAGGTTCGGGTGGCGGTAGTAGCCTGCAAGTGAGTAGAAAGTGAATGGGTTTAACGCCACGGGTCCTGACACACTTAGGGGCCAAATCGTGGTGTCTGAGACGACTGGGTTTTCCATGCCAACGACTTCTTGAGTAATCAGAGGTTTGTTTATTCACATATCTATCTCCCTGGTCCATCATACCAACTGGTAATGCCACTTAAAGAAAATATCAAGACATTTAACCTCTACCAGACCAGACAAGCCAGTGATTGATGTCATTAACATCGATCTACGCAATTGGGATACGATGACATGCATCAACCAAGTCAGCGAGTCTGACCACCCGGTCCCGTTTTGTGTAAACAATTCCAACCTATAGTTTTGTTTCGCTGTTATAAAACGCGATTTTCATGAACCTTTTACTAACCAATCAAAATGGGTAAGGGAGGTAACTCGTACTGCCCAACGTCGAAATGGGTAAGGGAGGCAACTCGTATTGCCTAGAAACATAAGCTGCCGCCAGGTTTTTTTTAAAATGAAGACATCCTTTCTATCAAAATGACTTTTGAGGGCAGTTAGTTTATCAATGTTGAATTTCTCGTGAACTCAATTGGACTGGCCGCCATTTATTTTATATCGCCAATCAACTTGACGTAGGGGGATAGCCCAAAGGTGAAACCAACGTGCACGGGTGTGGTCCTGGTAAACCTAAAAACATAATATGGTGATTTGTCGGTCACAAACACACTTTTGAATAAGATATTACCTTCAATACAATCTCCACACTTGTAGTCATGGGTCTTGCTACAGTTCCTCTCCACCGTCATCGCCCTGCTACATCTACTGCACGGCATGCAGAATCCAGCTGACCAATCAGAAGAGTACATGTCTTTTGCACACGGTTCGCACTGCGTGTTCGAGGTCAAAGTACAATAGTGAGACACGAAGGTTCCAGGCAGGCAATGCGAGCACTTCCGGCATTTGATTCCCCCGCTAGAAAATGTCCCATGGTCACATGACTTGCAACCCGTATCCGATTGGTTCGTGCATGAAGAGTTCACCTCTGACCCGGGAGGGCACTGGGCACACGGTTTACAAGACTTGTGGTCTTGTGCATTAATGTCATAGTAGTGTTGTTCAGGGCATGGTTGCGAATTCTGTCCCTAAAAAAAGCATCGCTAGGTAATTATGGTATGATATATATCACGACACGCATGACGATACCATGCAAGACGAGACTTTACGACATCAGGTATTTGTATATATTGACAAACCCAAGATCTATATTTCTATGAAACAGTTCATTCTACGAGAGGTGTTTTAACTTTGAGTTCAAAATAATCGTAATAAGTAATAGACGGCGTGCCAGCTTGATGTTGGAAGAAAACTCGAGGGTGAGGTGAGGTGAGGTGAGGTGAGGTGAGGTGAGGTGAAATGGATTATCGTCGCATTTAATATTATTTCACTTATATTACGACGTGTTTATGTGACTGTTCGTCCTATTCCGGACTACTGTGTGTTTTACAGTGCTGGTCCACTGAGATACCATGTTGTAGTTTAACGTGAAAACGTCACTCAAGACTCAGTATACCGACTTCGAGCCGACCAGGCCTTGTCTCCTTCATGCAGGACACCGGGCAGGGTAACAAGTACCATCTTTTAACGTCTTTATTTGGTACACTGTAGTGCATTCTCTGGAGAGTTACGTCCCTTTGCCGCGTAAGGATCCGCTGCTAATGATCATTACAGATAATGATGCTTTGTGTGTCAGTACCATGGTTTCAACAGAGTGGTAAACATCTTTTATTGGCGTCAGTTTGGAGTTCTTCTCACATCGTGATATCACCTAAATAATGTTCAAAGCCACGATAAACTAAAATAATAAATTGATCATTTTCGGAAATCGATAAAAGAGATACTAGTAGATGTTTAAGAAAAATAATTTTGTTCAAAACCTCAAGCAAATCTACACCTCGCTGCTTGTGTCCCCATGGGGATTCCGGGTTTGAATTAGTCCCCAACAACCTATGCTGGTCGATCGCTATCTTGAGGTGACTTTAACGGATCGGGTGGTCGGACTCGGTGATGTGTTTTTTTACCACGGCGGGGGCAGTCGGGTAGCCTAGTGGTTAAAGCTTTCGCTCGTCACGCCGAAGACCCGGGTTCGATTCCCGACACGGGTACAATATGTGAAGCCCATTTCGGGTGTCCCCCGCCGTGATATTGCTGGAATATTGCTAAAAGCGGCGTAAAACCAAACTCACTCACTCACTTACCACGACGCCATTGATCGTTGTTCACAATATCAATCACTGGACTGGATGTTCCAGGCATTATTATTTACAGGTCGCTGTCATTTAGCTGGAGTACTGCTGAGGGCAGCGATAAACAAACAAAACACTGCTTCTGAAAAAAATTATCTAAATATATCTTGCTGACGACTGCCAATTAAAATTTGAATAAGGAAGTCTCTTGAACACTACCGTGGCGGAAATTAATGACAATCAAGCATGTGTAATTAGATAAGCGAGTTTATGACTCATTATTTAAGTGCGATTTTCGAGAAATACACTCTAATTTCGAGAAAATATTGACAATGAAAAGCGTCCACTTATTTCATTAAACAGACAGAATATTATATTGTGTCATATGAAGAATTGACCTTCATTGTGTGTGAGTTCATTGGAGTATGAACCTTCTTAGAGTGAGGGCCAACTGTATGAACGGCGGAGCTTGTGACCGACCTCTCGTCCAATGGAAAAGCCGTATATCGTGTAAACGTCAAATTAAAAAATTATATCCGCATGAATGTATTTTATATAACATTCAAATATGCACATCAGTTTTAATTTAAATCATTTGAAAAATAAAAAATAAATATTCCACTGTTTATCAAGTTATGTATTATAACGTCGTACAATAGTTGCTCTCGTGACTTTCAGTGTGGCTGCCCCGAAGTTATGGAATGATCTTCCACTTGAGATTTGACTTTCCTCAACATTTCAGACACTCAAAGCAAAACTAAAGACACATTTGTTCAAAAAGGCTTTCCTGAGTGACATTTGAATACAGCGCTTTGATCATGAACTCTACATGGAGGCTAGCGCATTAATAAGTGCACATTTCTAATTATTATTATCTATTGTCGAGTTGATTGCAATATGGTGGCATTTGTGAAAGCATCAAGAACATGGACATTCACAGATTTGTAACGCAAAAAAGGTAGCAGCTACAAGATATATGCTCGATCACACCCCAGTGTCAGTATGCTATATCCTTTTATATAGTATAATGACACTGGGTGTGACCATATATCTTGTACTACCTCTCTGCCTCGTATTATATGAGTCCGGTGTATTGATCTGAATCTGGTCATTGATATTTATAAAATCATACTTACCCAAGTTGTTGACATCACGTCCATTATAAATATTACGATGACTTTCATTGCAGATTCGGAGTGTGTAGAGCAACCGAACATCTTCAGGCAATGACGCCACGAGTTACGTGGACTACCGTAGTTATATTTAGATACACGGAAAATACGTGCGTCTAAATATAGAAGGAAAACTTTGGCATTTCCGGTGCAGCATCTGACTCTAGAAGAATCTGCTGTAACCACGACAACGAATGCATCGCGATTATGGACTGGTTATTTTAGTTGTCTAGGTTTTGGTTGTGGGTATATATTTTCTTCCGTAATTACTTAAACACATTTAATTGTTTAGCCAGAGACCAAACATTATTTGTGGTGTCTGGTTTAACCAAAGACATGGCCCCTGCTAAATTGGCCAGGAGTGACGGATGTCTACCCCCGTGACAATCCGGGTTAGAATTGGTGGGTTAACATGGTTAACGGGATGGGGTGGTCAGACACGCTGACTTGGTTGATGCCTGTCATAGTATCCCAAATACGTAGATCGATCAGGGTTAAACCTTTTAGTCCCACAAATAGTTATCTTATTTCAATATATATATCTACAAAATAAACAAAATAAATCAAAATGAAGCCCAGAACAATCCTTAATTTAGACATGTTAAATCATTAAAGAATTGAGTTTTTTCAGTTTACTCTCTAGGGTCTGGAGGACAATCGAAAAAGCATACATGTTATATGTAACACGATTTATAGATCCTTTAGCAATTTTCAAGTGGGTCAAAAATTCATAAAAAAATCATGTTGAGGTAACGATAGTTGATTTTCATGACAATCTACTTTGGTGTCACTCAGAGGGTTATGATTGTTAATTGTTTTACACCGATAATACTCCAGCTACATGACTTCGGTCTGTAAATAATGGAGTCTGGACCAGACAATCCAGTGATTGATATCATGAGCATCGATCCATGCATTTGAGATCGATTACATACATCAACCAAGTCAGGAGCCTGACCACCTGATCCCGTTAGTCCTCTTACAACAAACCATGACAACGCATTTTAGTCGCGGCAAAAATGGGTTGCTGAAGACCTATTCTAGCCCGGATCTTCACAGGTCAAGAGAGAGAGTTGTGAGAAAATGGACCAGTACCTTAGGTACAGAAGCTCACCCTTATTCGTGAACATACAAATTTGAGTGAGCAGTGACCCTTGTTTCATTCCAGCCTTCACCTTTGACCTTTTCGTGAACACCTGGTATCATCAGTGTTTGATAGTGATTTATAAACACGTGCTCATGATGCAGTCGTACTCTTGTGTCGGGAATCGAACCGGGTCTTTGGCGTGACGAGCGAACGCTTTAACCACTTGGCTACCCGACCACCCCTAGACTTCTTATGAATATGGAAAGGGATTCATAACTTATTTTCAATCATTTGATTACATCATCACTTTAGTATCCATATTTGATTTGTTCGTCTGATTAACGCCACAATCAGCAATATTCCAGCTATATGATGGCGGTCTGTAAATAATCAAGTCTGGAACAGGCAATCCAGTGATTGATATCATGAGAATCGATCTACGCCATTGGGATACGATGACATGAATCAACCATCAGAGAGCTTGACCACACAATCCTGTTAGTCGTCTCTTACAACAAGCATAGGTTGCTGAAGACCTATTCTAGCCCGGATCTTCACAGGTATTCTCGTTTTTGAAATATTAGAATGATTGCCTTACTCCATTCTAATGACCTTGGCCTCATAGAAAAGTCTACCAAAGTCTACACAACTGGTGACTATGCCAAGAGGTCATGTTTGTCTAGTTTGGTGCTCATGTACACCAATGAAATGAGGTCTCCAGTTTTTGGTCTGATAAGGTGTTGTATGATAAATTCATTGTGACCTTGACCTTAAAATCTGGTCAATTATATGCCCAAAACGATCTGTTTTGAACACTCATTAAATCACTGTACATTTAGATCAATAGAACAACAAATATTTCATGGCAGACATATATTTTATTTTCAAAGAAGACAAAACATTGGAGAGCATGTATATGAAGATATATTGCATAAACTCCATATATTGCATAAACTCCAGCATTGTTGTACAGACTGAAATATAACATAGATTTGATCTATAGAAAATGTGTCCACTGATATTGGCCACTCTTGTATTCAGTGTTCAAATTACTTATCGGCATATAAAAAAAGGCAAGACGGTTAAATAAAAATCACACATATACATACTGTTGATATTTTTAAAAATATATTGTCCCTGAGGATAAAAATGAGTGTTAGTAGCACATGAAACAGTTATGAAGACGATTTCTTGCCAAAAACGGGAAATTGACAATTGATCATAAAGACTATGTACAGATCTACCAAAATTCATATTTTGTTTTTGTTTGTTGTTTAACGCCGTACTGAGCAATATTCCAGCTACCGCGTATATGACGGTGGTCTGTATAAATAATAGAGTCTGGACCAGACAATCCAGTGATTAACATCATGAGCATCGATCCAGCATCGATGAATAAATAATAGAGTCTGGACCAGACAATCCAGTGATTAACATCATGAGCATTGATCCACGCAATTGGGATACGATGACATGCATCAACCAAGTCAGGAAGCCTGACCAGCCGATCCCGTTAGTCGCCTCTTACAAACAAGCATAGTCACCTTTTATGGCAAGCATTGATTTCATCTGTATAATTCAAAAAGATTAACGCTGAAAATTGTCCCATGGCACTGTAACTCACCTGGACACTTCACAATATATTCTGCCAGCATAGCTTTTCAAACATTTACTGCATAAATACTGAAGGCAAAAGTATTAACAAATATGAGACAAGTAAATAAATGTCCACAATCTAAATATGAAAACATGAATGTTTTATTGTACACCATTGTTGCAATATACTAAAGTTACATTTATTTTACACAAAGTTTCAACTCTGAGCTTTATATGACTTCTACGGAGAATAATTTTTCTACTACCATACAATTGTTACACCTGTTTCACATGAAACACACTAAAATCCAATTGCCTCTAACAACATATGATGCCATCATACGAGAACGATACATGCTGAAGTTCAGCTTCCTCAATCTGGCTATGTCAGAGATAATTATATACAGAGACAAAATTGCATTTTGATAAAATTTCACAGCATTATGATACTTTTGTTCAGCAGTAAATAGTTTTTTGAATATGGCTGCCACAGTGGCCATATTGAAAATCATATTTGAACCTCTTGAGCAAATTCAGGTGTCATCATTGGTGTGAGCAAGCATGTGAAGTTTCAGCTTCATTGGTCCTGTGGTTTCTGAGGAGATGCTTACAGATGACATCAACCACAATGACAGAAGCCAGACAACCAGGCCATGACATAGCTCACCTGACTTTCAATCAGCCACACAACCAGGCCATGACATAGCTCACCTGACTTTCAATTTGCCAGACAACCAGGCCATGACATAGCTCACCTGACTTTCAATTTGCCAGACAACCAGGCCATGACATAGCTCACCTGACTTTCAATCAGCCAGACAACCAGGCCATGACATAGCTCACCTGACTTTCAATTTGCCAGACAACCAGGCCATGACATAGCTCACCTGACTTTCAATCAGCAAGATAACTAGGCCATGACATAGCTCACCTGACTTTCAATCAGCCAGACAACCAGGCCATGACATAGCTCACCTGACTTTCAATTTGCCAGACAACCAGGCCATGACATAGCTCACCTGACTTTCAATCAGCAGCGTTAAAAACTTGAAAATACAACATGTCTTCGTGGACAAATACTAAAATGTTGGAATATCATATCACTCCATTTTCACCAGGGATAGGCTTTGCCATGAAACTAGGTTGCGTCACAGGATACATGTTCGAACATGGACTCAAGACAAGGTACTACGCTGGTTCTTCTTTCAGCAAATAAAATGCAACCTGAACACAACTGTATTTTGCTTCATTCTGTCAACCTTTCCGATTTCATTGAGAAATCAGAGAGAATGTTCTTAACCTCAAAACTAGATTAGAAAACCAAGAAAGGAGGGAGCAACTCCGTTTAAAACAAACAATTATGCTTCGTAGGAAATGAAAAGCTTCTATAACATTCCAAAAGGTGGAGAAAAGACGAAGCACTGGTACCATCACTGACCATGTTCATACCAAAAGCCAGTAATAATACTGTACAAGCACATGGCTACAATATTATGACTTGAATAATGGAAAGACAAAACACTTTAGTGTAAACAGGATGGTGGGGTAGCCCAGTAGTTAAAGCGTTCGCTCGTCACGCCGAAGACCTGGGTTTGATTCCCCACATGGGTACGATGTGTGAAGCTCATTTCTGGTGTCCCCTGTCGTGATTTTGCTTGAATATTGGTAAAAGCGTTGTAAAACCATACTCACTCACTCATGAAGTGTACACACTGGTACTGGCATCATAAACAAAAGTTGAGAACTATATCATGAGGTAAAAAATGCGGAGTGTTCTTGACATTGCAACAAACAGGTGAAGAGAAACACAGCACTGTATCAAGCAACAGTGTAACTAAACATTTCATTTACAAAATTAAAACTCTAAAATATGGGGTCAATATTTAAACTGCCGGGCAAAAGACAGCATACACAAGAAAATTAAAAACTGTGTCAAAACATAACAAGGCTGAAAACAGACTTCAAAACATTGCAAACTTAATGTCTCAAATACAACTACGATACACACATCGAATAACCATTTCTTTCTTCACCTTTCAGCCAACATCAAACATGGGTGTATACCGTACTTCCTTTTGACCCGCAGTGTATGATGCCAGTGCAAAAAGAAAAGTGAACATTTTCATTTATCTTAAGGAAATATGACATTTTTGTGACATTAAAATAAAAGAGTATGCAGTGGGTTTCACTATCTGGGGAAATACTGATTGTCGATGGGTGTACCTATGTACCCGAGATTGTCTCAAACAGATGATTACCCCTCCAGTGACTTAAAACTAACAACCTTCACATCCTGTCATCAAAGGGACATAACCCAGGGTTTCTTATTGGTCCATTTTCTAGAAACCTGACTGATTGTCATCAAATCTGTCCTATAGGTTTCTTAAA